TATATACACACACACATGCTTATAAATATTTTTGAAAAAATTTACTCAACTAGAGAACAAGTGAAGTGAATTATTGAATGGAGTTCTAGCTAAAATGTTGATATCTTGATTAAAGTTGTGGCATATGTATGTATGTATGTTTCTTGGCACCCAAGGCAGGTTGGTATTGTAGATAGGCGTAATCAGACCACCGCCACGTCCGCAAAAATCCATTAAACGAAACCCTATAAAGTACCATAACGAATCACCAAATTGAGATACAAAATGGTAATTTGCTACAAGGGATCATGAATGTACATTTCTTTCAAACCGCTGAAGCTAAATCAACCAAACTTGCTGAGAAGTCCTTTTAGCACTTCTTTATACACTTTGAAAATTGGTAAAATCATATAATAACCACGCCCACTCCCCATATAACAGTAATGTATGTTGAAAACTACTAAATGTGCAATAACTCATTGAATAAATGCGCCACAATCAGGATGGTACCTTATAGGTGTAAGTATCGAATTTGGTATGTGAAATTTCCAAATCATTCTTATCATACTCTGTGAACAAAATCGGGTGACAACCACACCTACTTCCCATATAAGACACTTTCAAATTCCATCTAATTCTTTCACTTTACAGTATACAAATCAAAAATCCTTTAAGTTATCAGAATAAAACTTTGCACCAAAATTTAATTTTGGTACGATAAAAACGACTAAAATTTTGGGTAAAATTCAAATTTGTTTTAAACGACGCCATTATGTCAATTTTTGATATTTTTTTGAACGGCGGTACATTGCATATCATTGAAATGTCAAAATAATTAATACAGTAGTGTTTTTTATTCACCTAAAAATTCGCATAAATATTTCGCAAAAATCGCCCTTTTATCATTAAAAAGACTTACTTATATATAATCTAGTTTATGCTGAGAACTTTGAAAGACCGAAGTGCACATAACAACTACTATGTATATATATGTAATACAGATATAAGATACAAGTATGTATAAGTCCATATGCATTATGAAATTATGATATTTACACACGCACCAAAAGCAATTGATAAATAAAGACAAGTGTTTCTTCAATCAATAAATGCCATTTACTCGGAAAAAAAATAAATTTAGCGCGTGTGCTTATAATAGATCCGCAGTGGTCTAAAATCATTTGCACAGTGTTTTCTTTTATAATTCTATATTATATTCTTAAATGATTTTAAATGTTCTAAAATGCTCCCGCTCTTATGCATGTATCACACTACTGGGAAATTCGAGAAAGGAGAATCGTTAGATATCATCCTTAGGCTAAAAATGAAGAACACTAATTGAATTCGTTTTTCTGTCTGCCATGTGGTTGGACGCTAGAAATGAATGACAATCACAGTACTACAATTATATTCTTTCCGGTTGACTATACTCGTATTCAAGGTATCTTAACCTAGTACATCTAAACGAAAAGTTTTATTTTGTAAATCGAACGACCTTCATTTATTTTAGCCCCCCTGGAATATATAGAGTTTGAGCGAGTCTTTTGGATATACTTTATTGCTTGATCTTCATTCCATATTCGTACATAAAACACATAAAACAAGTACGTCATAATCCGATCGATCAAAGGTAGCGTTTTTAAAAAAGAACCATTTTTCAATAATTTCCTGCGGAGATGGTTTATCTATCCACATCGAATTTCATTCGATTTTTATCTTGTATTTAGATACAATACAGACATACAGAATCGGTTCTAGCAGGTCTACGTCAGCATCATCTTGGTGGTTTTACTTACTACTGATAGTCCTATTCTGGTGAGATATTTTCCTAGAGTGCTTTGCCGGTGCGCTGTGCATACTATTTAATATAAGAATAGTTATTTGTTTAAGTAATATGTTTTTGATATTCTCAAGCATCGATTCGAAAATCTTAGGTACTTAATCTCCAATATTTTACACTCATCGAAGACAGAATGCAACTTGAAGCAGGTTTAATTTTTCCAACATTCCGGTGGCGACTCTTTTCTGTCACGAGCAGCTGTTATTATCATATCATCGTTTTTTGCTGATGTTTTGAGAGTCTTATCTCAAAAATCAATCATTCGATAAATTTTAACTTTAGAAAATTAAAAATATGTATCCCCTCTCCGACATTCTATGGTAAGTAAAACAATTAATTCGAACAATTGAATAACCATATTACGCAATTCTAAATTAATTGAACTGGGAAGTAGCGAACTTGAATTTCTACTACTCATTGCTCCCATATTTAAATTTGTTATTCTAACTGCTTGCTCTATAGGCAAATTTTAATATAATTAAATAGTAAATGCTAAATTGATTTTTATTAAAGAAAGTTTTGTCTTTTGAACGAATTCATTAAATGTAAAAGGTTTGCTTGACTTCAACCGCGACACGCATGCCTTTCCATTTTGTTATCTAACCTATAAAGCGCCACTTGTGGCCGTTTTTTCACATGAATCCCAGGCTGCACTATCAATCGTCCAATAATATATACATATGGATGTAGGTATAGTAATTCCATTTACGACGCCCAAAAGGCATTGCGGCGCGCTGTTGCTGCGAGTGCAGTAATTAATTTCGTGCAGCATTGTCTGGTCGCTTGCCACATGTGTTGCAACACCAACACCAAACTTATGTGTACAAAGTATGTATACTCGTACATATGAGATTACATACTTAACAATAGTGACATTGCACATGCCCCCTAGGAAATTATACATTCATATGTATAAGTATAGCTTTTATTTAGAAGCTCATACTTTGCCGATTAGGGGCAACATCGAACAAAGCCCCAACTGTTCGTTTCTGTTCCATGCTTGTTTGTCCAAGCGCTTTATTGAAGTTCTGTCTTTTTATACCCTTGTATTTGTATATCACTGCTATAGCTGCCATACAAACTGGCTGATCAAAATCAAGTTCTTATATGGAAAACGTTATTTATTTGACAAAACATCTTCACTAAATTCGGCATGAATTTTTATTGCGAGCAGCGCTGCAATCTTCGAACAAATTTTTCAGATCGGACCACTATAGCGTATAGCTCTCATACATGATAACTAGTGGATCCAGATATTGCATATTCTTAAAATTACCTTGAAAATTTAAAGGAATTATTTCCGAGTCCAAGCAAAGATTCTTATTTGGACAGTTCATATTATTTTTGCCTTTATAATTTAAGATCCTTTTTGTGGTACTATTTGAAACTATGGATTATAACTGATTATATGGTATATTCAAGTATCTCTAATGTCAATAGTTTAATTGTGGAAAATAGAAACATATTAAAGTTATCCTTGCTTTTCCCACACAGCCTCTTAAATTTTGAATCTTGAACTTTACTTGGGCCGTAGTTAAATTAAAAAACCAAAGAAATGTGTGTATCCTCCTTCAAATTTAAGTTTAACCATAAGCTATAAAGCTTCATTATTCACTGATTTAATTTCGTTTCTATAATGTTACGTAGTTTTAAATACATAGTTATATCTTTAAAGTGTTATTCTGAGACTCTTTCTAATAGATCATTTTGATACACTTTCAGAGAAGTGATTCTGAATAGCTCGATAAATGATTGGCTATTACAAGCAAGATCTGTCCACTAGCTGCTACCTGATGATCATCACCATGCTACTAATTCTCATTCCCTTCAAGTTTACAATCACAGCAGCAATTTTTATAGAGGGGATCAGTTTTCGGTGTATGAGTTAAAAGTTTTTTTTATGATATTATATGTGGTTCAGTCTGCTTGGATATCTAAGATTCAAATATATTGTAGAAGACCGTCTGGTTTGATTGAGTAGTTCAAATTGAATGTGGAGTGCTCTTCTGACAGTTTCTAATATAGCATAGCATATTATCCCGCTTCGAACTCATTTAGAAATGCAACGACCTTCTTCTACTCTTCGAATTTTGACTTTACGGATGATCAAATTTGATTGGATTGGTCCATTTAAACTGCGCACGTAAACCGAATCGGTTAAAAAAATTGTTTCCTAGATTAGTGCAACCTTCTTTTATGTTCGTGTGAAGTTCAATAGCCATATGTTAATTAGTGTGTGTTTGTCAGCTGTTTGTTTACGACGCGAAAAGTTTGTCTTTCGATTTTTACCATGGAAACCACGAACTTGTTTGAAATTTTGTGTTTCCAAGTACACATTTGAGTGGCACAAAACAATCGGTGCAGGTCGTGGAGTCATCGAAAACATGAGCCATGCAAGTCGCCCATCGACCTTTATTAATGACCATGACATCGAGCGTGGCTGAGGACTCTACATTCATCAAACGCATCACTATTGGTGACGAGACGTGGATTTAAAAATATGACGTCGAAAGTGTTTAACAATCTATTGAATGGCGCTCCAAAAAAGAGCCGAAACCGAAAAACCCAAAATTCGCTGAAAGCGCTGAAGACCATCCTAGCCGAGGTTTATAACAAGTTTATATTGTAGAAAATTGGAATATATAAAAATATTTGAAAATTATATTTATTTATCAGTCCGGGTCAAAATTGATCAGATACAAGTAAGTGTACAACTCTCTCAAACCACTTTCGAAACATACATAATTATCATTCGGAACGAAGCAATAGCATATACTAAAATTCGTGCACTCATATACCCTTTTGATCTTTAGTGTAATTTCTAAGACTTTCCTGCCAGTACCTCGAAGAATATGGATGCATACATACGAACATGTGGTGCATATAATGAAAATCTACATATGTTTGTATGCAACATCGGGCATCGCCATCGATAAACCATCAGTTTCACAAGTTCATCAACGCCTAAACGCCCCAGCAGACTTATGGCTCGCTATGCTTTGCCCCAGTACTATTGTCGACATGTTGTTGTTGTTATGCTTTCGCTTTTTATTGTTATTGTTAATTTTTTTTTTTTTAGATTTTGAATGCCTTTGCTGGTGCGCTGGTGTGCTTGTGTGTTAGAGTGCTATTTTGTTCACCAGCTTACGCTAACTCAAGCTGGTCGCGCGCTGAACCATTTCAGTTCACTATTGAAGCGCGCGTCTTAGCGAACAGTTCGTGGCCAGCTACAACGGTTAGCTTGGGCAATAAAACATTTTGTTGCACATAAAGTTCAAATTAGGCGAAAAAAAGAAATTTTTCAAATTTCAACATACTTGATTTCGAATTGTAAGCGAAGAGAAATTGTTAAATGGCGAGGCATAAGTGAACAAAAGTTTGCGCAATAATTTGGACTCGGCTTAATTATAGCTGTTTGTGATTTAAAAATATTTTCCCAACTCGAATAACAGAAATGTTATAAAAAAAAATCTAATAATATAATATATAACAAATTGAAATTTTTCGCAAATAAATATGCTTATGTACATATATTCAAAAATAAATTAAATCTTAAAATCAGTAAACGTAAAAATTCCTTTAACTAATGGAAAATTGTGTGAAATCTTCCTATTAACTTAATGATTTAAGCCGCGCTGAATTTTGTTGACGTTTATTGTTGTTGTTTGGATCAATCAGTGTCAGGCAAACAGACAGAGTCAATAATACAATAATAATTCTCCAATTGTGAGCGCTCCCATAATAGCAAATCCAAATAACGGCATTTATAGACAGCAAAATAGCAGTGGCGACAGCAGGCAAACACTATAAAACATATTTACAAAAGTTAAACGCAAAATTGAAAAACCTAAACTTCAAAAAATTTTTAGCCGATTCGCCATTCATTAACGTTAAAGGAGTCTAACAGACCGGAATATTTTTCAATAGCCCTTGTAGACAAGTCTTCTATTGTTGTTGCTGTGTGAGAAAAAAAATTTACATAAAAATCTGTCGCAATTCAGTTGCACAGTCGGTGTCGGTTTTAAACGCAGTGCTTACCTGTAAATCCGACGTACGTCCGTCCGTTCAACCGTTGCTGTATGCCTGTTTGTCGTCTGCTCGGACTGATCTCCTAAGCTTTCTCGCAGCGCTAGACTTTGAAGTCGGCGTTTGTTTGCCTGCCCGGACACTGCTTCATTTTTGTGTATGTCCGTACGTATGTATACTTGACAGTTATTTTTAAATATTCACAGCTGTGTTTAGGTATTGTCTTCGCGCAGAACAAGAAAGTGTGGTAGAAGCCAACTTTAGGTTAAACAGACACGTCGCGGACGCATTGCAATCTTGGCATCTGAACTACTAGTTTGTGTTCGTGTTCGAGTGAGTGAGTGGCCGTCAAAACTTGGTGTGATTAAAACAAACAAGCGGCCAAAGTCTACCTATATAAATTACTTGTCTGGAAATTGTGACCGTATATCTTTCAGTTTTTGTTAATAAAAAAAAATTGTGTGTTTTCTAAGAAAAATGCAGACTTGGAATTTTAATGGCGCGACGCTGCTCGCTTTAATTTGCTGTAATGGTAAGTCGAGAGAAAATCCAATCATTAAAATATAAATATGTATGTGTGTGTGTTACTTTTAATTGCACATTGCGTAATTACGCTTGCAGAGGTTCACTTAATAATCTTCAGAGATCGTAAAAAATCAGTTACAACCGAATTTACGACCAAAGCCGGAGTAGATTATTAAGTAGAAACATTTGCCTCTCAGTACATCTTAATAATCCATCCCACATAAACCAACGAAGGCCAGCAGGTTCGGCGTACTTTAATCAAAGATTTTAGAAAGATATTTGTTTTCTTCTATTCAGCGAAATCACCGGTTAGCAATCCCAAAAATTTACACCGAGCTCTTTCTCAACGCTAGTCCTAACTGACTGAAGTAATCACATAATTTTTTTTAGCTGTTTTCGATGGCTGAATGTTTGAGTAAGTTTGCTAGTAATTAAGGTCGCCCAGGTCAACTAATAAGAAAATATATAAAAAATTTAACAATTATTCCATCGTCTAGTTCCACTCGATAGTCTTAGTGTGTATATTGTCTTTTTAATATTTCCCTTATACTACGAATATGCTTTTAATTCTTAATTGTCTCATCTACTTATTTTCATTTTCTTAATTAATCATTTAAGTGGTCGGCGCCAAAGTAGAGTGAGTGGGGTGAGTGTCTGTTAACCCTTCATTTCAACATTGATCGATTAAAAGTTTTATTTAATAACAGTATTTTTTTTTTATTGTTATTCTACCAACAATTGTCTCTCAGAAGGTAATTTCCAAAGACATTTTGAAAATTAAGACAGTGCCATTTTAGACGGCTTCCTATTCATCATAGAGACACATATACATACATACTATGAGCTCTTCAAAAATATTGGTTATTTTTATACACTAAACAGTTTATCACGAAGTTTGTAACACCCAGAAGCAAATTTCGGAGATACTATAAGATATATATAATATCCTTTCCTACCCAAGAAGCTGCCCATATGTCGGAATCGCCAATATCGGATATAGCTGACATACAAATTGACCGAACAAAATCAAGTCCTTGATTGGAAAACGATTTTATTTAACAAATTATCTTCACGAAATTTGCCATGGATTAAATCTTTAAATATACTTGTATTGTTTGAATGGTCGATCAAAAGCAAGACAAACATATTTTTAAAAAATGCACCTATGAAAAATAGTATAGCTTCAGTGCAACCGAAGAATAACGCTTATTCTTCTTTTTTTTCTTAAATGTTGACACACTTGACCGTTGCTTTAAAAGCACCGTTATTATAATATGTAATCATTTCGTATCAAGGACCACTATATCAACATAAATGAATGCGATTGCGTTATTGGCATTTAAACTATAGTAGCAATAGATTTTATCCACTTTAGTTTTCATTTATCAACTACATATACATACATATGTGTGTATGTTTATTTGATTTCGGGTAACCAACTTGATTTGATACATTTAGTCTAGCGTTTTCGACTTACTTTATCTCTTTACATTAAAAAAGTATCAAATGAGTAAGTTTTTGCATTTCGTTTATTTAACGTTTGTTAATAGTACTCGCTTACCCTTCATTTAGGTGTCTTCGTGTTATAAATGATCTATCAATATGATCGCTTCCAAAAATGTAATGAATATTTTTCACACAGTATCCAAAAAATGATATTATGAGTTATTATGTGAAAGATCTTTGGTTAATATATAAACATATACTAGTTGATATATAAACATATGTACCATATAGGTATATAATTGTTGCCGAAATCTTGTCAACCGAAAATGTAGTGTTATGAAATACTTGTAGCTGTTATTTCGAGGGAAAAAAAACAATTTCTTTCTTTGCATGTAACTACTAGACACCAATTGTTACTTTGTCCTCAAGAGGTATAAACTTTCCAAATAATAAAGCTCTTAAAACTTATTGGGTTAAGGAGACGGTTTTAAAATTGGACGATAGGCGTAACACCGCTCACCTTTAGGAGAAATCACATATCTCCGGACCTACTAGACCAATTTCAACCAAATTCGGTATATAATATTATCATAATATCATATCAATTATACCTGGTAAAAATAGGCGAAATCGACTACAGAAAATTTTGGGTTTTGAAATAGCTCTTAATCCGAGCGAGACGAACTAATTTTCTTTGCAGAAAATTACTAGACACCAACTGTTAATTGCACTCAATTTGTACAAACAGTCGTATTGTGGTGATCGTAATAATGTTAGCGAACCAATATTGAGCAACATTTTAAGAAACCTTTAGTCAATTGTTTAACATTTTTGTAGAGAACAGTTTGTGATATCTTGACCTTTCGTCAACATTACATCTCAGAGATTTTCTGTCAATAATTGTTTTTCTCCGTATAAGAATTTTATAATTACACAATCTGGGAGAGAGAAAGATGTAGTAATTCGTAATCCTTTCGTTAATAATTATATTTAAGGTCATGTAAGATCACAGAATGCATTCGTTTCTTATCTTATTACAAAATGAATGTGGATCAAGCGCTACATTCTAACGGAATATTTCACGACTAATTGAGTTAAAAATTTAACTTTTTTTTGGCTGGTGCGTAAAGCAACTCAGTAATGGACTGCGGGCTGGAACTCGATGTGAAGATTTTGTAATCAAGGGCGTGCAACGAAAATGTTCCTGCAAGGTCTAACTGCAAAGCACATATCTCTATTGGGATCGTAAGGATTTGGTTATAAACACTTTAGGCTATTGATCAGGGTGAATGTTGCTTTAAATGTGATCTTATATAGTATTGTACAACTATGCGGATTATGTGGATGTGAATTTTTTCGCTCAGCTGATTACTAATTAAGTACGGAGAAAAGCTTAGCGTATTCTATGTTAAGTAGCATTATATAAATGCCTTTTTACAACTTCTTTTCATACTTCGCATATCTCCTTTACGTCTTTTTTTAATGTCACAAAGTAACACATTTTTTTTTAACTTATTGGAAATTAAGTTTTTTCTAATGGCATACCACTTTAGATGTAGTCTATATCGCATAGGAATGTTATTATAACCCATAAATCGTACAAAATTTTATTTAAATTTGAGATTAACCGTTAGCTTCTACTGCACCTAAGCTATAATGCGCTACAAAGGTGCATTTCATAACATATATTGAATAAAATGATATAAAAGGGTCATCATCATCATCATCTTGGTTTTGATCGGTCATCAAATGAGTAGCTTCTTGGGAAAAAAGAACGTGTGCGAAATTTCAGATCGATATCGCAAAAACTAAAGGTATCGTTCCCGTATATACAGACTCAGCTCGTCATGCTGATCCGGTGTTTCCTCCTTTCATTGCAAACTTAATATACCCTGTTCAGAAGACTATTAAATTGAAGATGCAATATTTTCGTGCCCCATATCGTTACATTACATATGTATATGTACATTTATGTATATATATATTTACTCGTAAAATATGTATGTAGGTATGTATTCATATAAATATATATAATCTATGTAAGCGCAAACCGACGCCACTGGCCACCGACCAATGGAGCAGCTCAAACGAAAAGCGGAACAACGCACAAAACTGGAACTCGTAGCTAAGGAAAGAAATATGTTTCAGCATTCGCTGCATGACACCAATTAACACGATGGCAGATATGTATGCCGTCGTTGTCACAGGCACATTGATGGTCACAGTGCTTGGTGCCGGTGACAGGCAATGTTACCATTTACCAATTTTCAGCCTTTGCCATTGGAAAGAGTGTTTATAAGTGTGAGTACACATGTCTACAAGTATATGTATGTATGCGAGTTTGTTTGATTGTCAAATAATCCACTTTGATTGTGACAAAACTGGTCACCAGTGTCTTTCTGGCCATCAGGATGCAGTCAACCAGACGGTTGGTCAATCTACGATTTGCAGTTAGCGCGAATTTCGCAATTAGATACACGAAACATACGAAAACAACAAGAGCAATAGCAAGAGATAAAAGCAAGTAATAAAAGACAACGAAAGCAAAAGGTTACTACGGGCAATGGATCAGTCTTTGGCGGCTCTGGGTTGCGTGTTGAACAACAACAGTCGTTGTTGTGGTCAGGAATGTTAACGTGCTTTGAGTATGAGTATGCCCGAAACTAGCAAATAAAGCGCATTGTTCGGAGTTAAACTGTTTCGCATGAGTCGCCCGGCACTGCGATAGTCAAGCGATTTCACTGTTTAGAGACTCAATTTAGTTTTTTTTTTTTTACATTTATGTGTTGCAGATTGAGGTGTCTTTCAACCAAAAAAAAAAATTGCCAATTTGCTTATGTTATGTAAATTTGTTTAGTAGTTGCACAGATCGAGATATGATTTTCGAAATTGTTTTATGGCTAAGATTTCGATCGGATCCAAAAGAATTATTTTTTTTCACCAAGGCAAATATCTTGTCTTGTCTTGGCGTAGTATAAGTTTAGTGTATATAAAGTTTGACACGAAGTTTGTAACACTCAAACTTAAACGTCAGATCATTAGCGCGAGTAGATTTAGCCAAATCCGTCTGTCTGTATATACGCGAACTAGTCTCTCAGTTTTTGAGATATGACTCTGAAATCTTGCACACGAAAAAAAGGCCATAAAACTATTCAGTTAAATGCATCAACTTAAATGCTGTCATTTGAATAACAAATTTACTCAAACACAGCCTTAAAGACAGTGAAAACATCACATGTGGCTAAATAATAAATATGGTTTAAAAAATCAAAAAACATTCTTTAAAGCACATTAAACTAAAAAGTGAAAAAAAAATTTTTTATTAAGAACTGACAGTAATATTGTATATATATATATATATATTTGCATTATTGATTAAGACTTCTAAGATATAACTTTCAAAATCTTTCCATCGCCATTTTGGTGAAAGCTACAAGACCGCTTACATTATAATGAGATCATAATAAAGATTCGTGCACATTAAGAGTAAGTACATCTTCGTCAGTAGATCAGCTATATTAACCACAAAAGAATAAATCGATACAAATGAAAAACTAAAAA